AAAATTTATGCTATTACTTTTGATCCGGGTCGTCTTAAAATTTATGCTATTACTTTTGATCCATTAGTCTTATAACTTGTCCAATTTATTATTACTTTTGATCCGGGACGTCTTACAATTTATGCTATCACTTTTGATCTGGGAAAGTCCTAAAATTATGCTATTACTTTTGATCCGGTAGTCATATAACTTGTGCAATTATTAGTTTTGATCCGGGACGTCTTAAAATTTATGCTATCACTTTTGATTCGGGAAAGTTATAAAATTACCCTACCGTTTGATCCTGTTATTTGTGCTTATACTGTTTTTACCAATATTAAAATAATAACAAAAAAATGTTGTTAACGTTGTGCTACTTTTATTTACAAATTTCATCACAACTCTGTCACAGCAGTTGATCATTAAAAATTGGGTAATGATCAGGAGAATAAAGGGGTAAATGTAATGCTTAGTGCAAAGTTTTTTGGCAGTGAATTAGTACATGTGATTGCAATACATATTGCCAAATGACAGTTAGTTATGTTTCTGTGAATATAAATACCTTGTCAACATACCAAATTTTAATAGGCAGTTAAGCTGCAAAAAGAATTTCACCATAACATTTATCATAACCATGAGATCGTAGCAAATGATGGTGATGCATGCCTCAGTTCAGGTGTGGTAAGTGCTGGTGTGCTGCTGGGTGAAATCCCTTGAAGAAGCATATGGCTCCTCGTCTGGTGGTGGAAAGTGCGCGGGTATACAAGATACGGCACATGCTGGTAAAACCACCCTAGTGTCTCTCGCCAAGTATCCAAAGCACCAACGAACTAACTGTCGGTATGCTATGTGGCGGTACTTTGCATGCATAGGTCCCTCAAATGCATTACCGCGGTATTGCTGATGATAGGCAAACCATGCAACCTGCACGCTCCATGGGTCAAGGCACACGGCTTGCATACCAGGGTGATCGGTGATGCATTTCACATTTGTCATCTGAGCCTCTCCTATTTTAGCAACCACCTCTGGGATTTCTGCGCAGCACACACATTCTCTTGCCGTGGTCATAGTTTGGCAGTTGAAGCAAACACACCTGTTAAAAACAAGACATGGTGTTATTAAAATAAAAAATCAAGCTATACCAGGCTTTACTAACCATATATCGTGATGAGATAGAATTGGTATACTGATGTACTGGTACCTATCAATTTTCGAAAGCGTACTGGATACCGGCACGTACATGCTGTCTGTATAGCACATCGGAGTTTCTTTTCAACATGAACGACACAACTTTGTCTTCCATTATAACTACTTTTCGATTTATTCTGCAATTTCTTCTCTGAAAACTAAAATTATTTTGTCGATGCTATTTTTTAGCCTAAACGTAACACCTATTGGTGTTACACAAAGCGTTGTTTAGGCACTAAACTGTTTCTAGCTCCTCCAGGTAATATCTTGACAATTTACTATTTTCTTCCTTATCGCGATGTGTATAATAGTGTATTGTGTGATCACAGACAAGGTAAGCATCGCACGTATATCGTTTCAGAAATAGTCTACCGACACCTATCCCTATTTAAGACTGCAAATCAAGCCTGCATGTGTATACATGTAGTTTTACACATGTTATTTAACAGCTTATACTTATGTGTAACACATGCAATTTTTTATGCATACAAGGTACTGCACATTATAATAATTTATAGCTCATATTGATAATGCTTCATCTTTTCCCATAGCTATATAGATTACTGGTTTGTTATGTTTACAGAAAATTTACATACAATGAAAAAAAGATTCCCTAGTTTAAATATAATTTCATTCTAAAACTTTAGCTCGAACATAGGAGCAGCATGATCCCAGTTTACCTCAAAATTAAGTAGGCCAGTGACTATACCCGGCACCCTACCAATATTACACATACACATATGCATACATACATTATACATAATACAGCAATGTAAATAGGGGGATTGATGAAGCAAGGCCTGACCCTACAATTGTTTCTAGACAGCACTCTACAACAAGAGCCGCAGAGCGTCTGGGCTCATCTGAGGTCTGTTGCTACGGTTATAAACGTAACATTTAAGTCGTGCGTAGTGACACCTTTGTTAGGCGCAGATATGCAGATACGCAGTTGCGTACACATCATTTCATCAACCTTCTGCATTCTGCATACCTCCCAAATCCCATTGGTTGATACAAATCGTGTGCCTGAAACTCCTGTTTTATGGTGCATTGTGACCCTAATCTTAACCGTATAAAAAAATTTTAAAAAAAAGTACAAATTATTTGTTGTTATTAAATTGTTGTAAATAAATCATGTAAATATTTGTGTTAATTGGAAAAAAATAGAAAAATACATAAAACAGGTAAATAATAGAAAATCAGATGGGATTCGATCCAACGACCTTTGAGCTGTGACGCCTGTGCTGTACGCGTTCGGCTATCCAGGCTTATTGGGTTTCTAGATTATGGATGTGCCATGAATATGACAACACTGTGACGTCATTGAGGCAGTTCAGGAATCCATTTTTAACCCTCCTCTTGAGGGTCAAAAGGTTATCAGACACTTACTCTTCACACGTCAGTGGAAAGCACATTTCATGGTCCTTTCAATAAAGTGATAAAAATGGTAGGTCAGCGCTGAAACAAAAAAGTTTTTCACTGTCCATTAGGCCATGTCCTCAGAAAATGTCTGATATCTGACCTTTCCCCCACTGCCCTTTGACCTGTGACCTCCAATTTCGCGCTGGTGATGGGTTAATTTCCTGCCCATCACACTATATATACACCGAATATTAAGAGCATAGGTCGAGCCGTTAAGATTTGTGCCGCAATTTCGTATTTCCTCCTATAGCTTAAGTTAAGGGGAAAATATTCCCCCTCTGTTTACACATCTTGACCTTTGACCCCCAAATTTGTCATCCTGAGTCCGAATTCTCCCCCACGTCCCGGAATATCGTGACGTACGTCACGGTTAAGATTTGTGCCCAAGCTGTTGATGACGCACGCGAGCGCATGGATCGATCACCTGCGATTCTACAAGCTGCATCTGACTACGTCAGATGAGCTAAAAACAGGGTTGATGGTGGTTTGAGAATTGTTATTTACCAAATCACTATTAAATCACTACCGTTCATTACAGCCTGTTAGGTTAGAGGATGTGAACGGCGTCATCGGCGAGCCAAATCGGAGGCCAGCAGCTCGGGTGCACATAAAAGCTGAGGCGTGTTTTGTGGTCTGCATTATTTAGGGCTGGCTATCGGTGTGTGTCAATGACATGCACATAGAGATGGTTGGATGTAGCTGGTAATTTAAAACGAATTCTTTCAATGTATGGCCCCATTCTCGAACTGGCGCGACCTGCTTTTTCAGGCAGCAAATGTGGTGTCGGTTGTAAATTCCGCGATATTTTTTTACAACGAAGACCGGACAACATATGTCATAAACTCTAATGGTGCACAAGCTGAATACATGGCTACCTAGCTTTAATATTGCCACTCGGCCGAAAACGGTCGAAATACTATTTTTCAGCTCCTGAAATTCAATTCTTAAGTATAGGATCCTATGGAGGATTTAATAGTGGTCTGTTCTCATATTTACTTATAAAACATCCAAGAGATGGCGCTGTGGCATGTGAACATTGGCTGTATTTTGATGAAAAATGTTTAATGAATGACGCACTCGTTCACCTCCGACAGCGAGTGAAAATGCGGAAAATTTTCCTCTTCGATGCGAAATGCATCGGCCGGGCATTTCATTATTTACGAAAAGTAAATAGGCCTGGCAAAAAACGGTAGGTACAGGAACCGGTAACGTTGGTCACGCCCCATTCACGCCCATCAACGAAGAAGGCGGGGCTTAATTAGTCCGATTACGGAGATGCGAAAATTCAACAGAAGGACGTAGCGCAGTGCGCTAAACAGCGTGTTATTTTCGTTTTTGTGCCAAACTCGTAGGAAACTGTTCTAGCCTAGCAGAATGCCCTAGTTCCTGAGATCGGCGATATGGTGCTGTTATGGGTCCCTACCTATAAAAATATCAAACAGAGGGATGTGGCGTAGGCTGTGATTAGAAGACACAAAGTGTCAATCCTCGGCAAGCCTCGGCATCATGGCCACATCACGTCTAGCTTCAACCATATGCTTCAACATGACAACAACAAGCTTGAGCCAATCGCCATTGTACAGCAAGGTGTAGCTAACTGTTTGCAACTATAATGCTACTAGTCAGTTACTGAGTATAGTCACTACAAAAGTACTAAAGTTCTAGTACTACAGGTACATTAGGCTATCATTCTTCTGAAAACTTCTCAGTAATTCACTAAAAATGTAAAAATTATGCTTACCATTCACTCAGGCAATCGACGTTTAGTCTCAGATTATTCATTATTTCCACGTTGCCTGCGTCTATTACTTCCTCATCCGATGCATCTGGCTCATACATATGTGGGCCAATCACTACTTCTGCTTCCATACTAGCTTCACCAGTCTCACAGAACTCAATATCTTCATTATCATCACTTCCACTTGCTGATTCTGTCAAAAAATCGCTCTGCGGTATATTACTTTCTACATTCATCGATGTCCTGGAAATGACGTCACATCCGCCGCTGGGAAATTCGGCGCCGTTTTCAAACACAATCTTCGGAAATGTGTAATAGTGAGCCAGCTGACCGTGTTACAGAAGAATTATGCATGCTATCGTGAAATATAGACATTTTTCCCAAACATACCAAAATTATTAGATATAATCGCATAAAAAAGATATTGCAGATCCTCTTTAACATTTTTAACACGACTGCAGAACACTAGAGTCGGCAGCGTTATGTTACATGCTATGTGGTGGGGACCCGGGTAGTGACACGCAAGACGACTGGTGCTGCTTAGCCGCTAGACATGTGTACAACAGCCATTCCAAATGGTTCATGATTGATATAAGACATGCATGATACTCCAGCTTTCCCCAGTCATTACTAATGTGTTCTCATCAAGAATAATGTATTAGATAACTAGAGCACTCGGAGAGCACAGACCTCCGCCAAGGCAGCTGAATTCTCTCAATGTGAAATTTTTTATTAATTAATTAATTAATTGAGTAGAAAAATTAATTAATTAATTAATTAAATAATTAATTGGATCCGGATTAGTGCGAGCGTGCAGGTGGGGAAGGACTGTGGTTGCCCCTTAGCCTGTGTTTGTAAGTCTACAGCCAGCGCACCTAG